TTTTTTTTAAAACAAAAGTTGTAGTTGTTAGTCGCTTGTCTCTTCGTACGTTGTTTGAAATTTTTTTTGACATTTGTTGGTTGTTGTTATTGTTGTTAATGTGTCGCAGTGGTAAAATAAATTGAAAATTTAACACGAAAAATAAGAAGAAGCGTGAAAATTTTAATTATTTAAAAAGTAGTCAAAAAAAGAGAGGAAAAAAAATAAGAGAAACAATTAAAATTAAAATTAAAATTAAAAAAAAAACGAATTCTCTTCTCTCTCTCTCTTTCTCTCTCTCACTCTCTCATTGTTTGTATTTAATATCGGTTGTTCATTCCTGTTTGTATACGACGTGAAAAAATATTATTATTATTATAGTCCGATTAAAAACGTATTATTACGCGTTTGAAGCCACGAAAGTGAAATTTTTTGTTTTATTTTTTAAATTCGTCTCGTTGCCTTTTAACAAAATGGCGGATATTTTATCATCGGAGACGATCTTTTAATTACCGTAACGGGGAAAAAAAATTTTTTTGTTGTAAGTTTTTGCGTGCTTGTATAAGTTCGTTTAAAAACATTTTTAATTCATAATAATAATAATAATAATAATAATAATAATAATAATGATAATAATAATGATATAATATGGTTCATTTTATTACGGGTCAACGTGACGAAAGGGGGAAAAAAAAAGAAAAAAAAAATTCACCTCTCCATATTTTTTTTTTTTTTTAATATTTAATTTTAGAACGTAAAAGAGAGAGAAAGAGAGTGAGAGAGAGAAAGAGAACAATTAACGTAGCAGACGACGTGACGTGTTTCAATTAAATTTTTTACACATTTGAAAGTTTTTTTCTTTTTTGTAGGCAACATCAAAGGACATTTATTTAATTTTTTTATTAACACCGGAAATAGAATTAATCCGTTTTTTTGCAAAAAAAAAAAAAAAATTACCACCAAACTTTCCGTCATTATTATTATTATTATTATTTCAAACGTTTCACAAACGAATTTATTTTATTGTTTAATAATAATAATAATGATAATAAACACGAAACGATGAAAAAACGTTAAAAAAGAAAAAAAAAAAAACAAAGAATAAAATCATTTTAAAATTATTATTATTATTCTCCTACGCCTCCGCCTCCCCTCCTCCCTCACTTAAAAGAGTAATAATTTAAAATCGCTTGTGTAAATTTTTTTTTTTTTTTTTTGACCGAAATAAAAACCAAAATGGCTTTTTTTTTAGCTTCTTTTTTTTTTCTTTTTCTTATTCTTTACTATTTATTTTAGCATTTTTAATGTAACAGTCTTTTCTTTTTTTTTTTTTAACTTTTCTTTTTTTTTATTTTACTTTTATTTTATAAGTTTGTTTACTTAAAACTTAAATAAAAGAGAGAAAAAAAAAAGAAAGTTTTTTCTTTTTATTTTTATATATATATTTTCTCTCTCTCTCTTTCTCTCTTTTGAGAATATTTAAAAATGGCGGAGTAGGAGGAATACAAAGAAAGAAAAAAAGAAAGAGAAGATTAAAATAAAATTTAATTTTTTTAAATTTTATTTTATTCCGTTAATAAAATTATATTCTTTATATAAATCGTTGTGTAGTGCGCGTTTTTATTTATTTAACTCGTTAAGAATGGCAAATGATAATAATAATAATAAAAATAACGGTCGTTTTGATTTGAGAAAAAAAATTATACGCGAAATCGATTAACGGTCGTCTATTTCCCTCATCCCCCCTTCCTCTTCCTCTTCTCTCCTTCTATTTCCTATTTAATAGTAGTAACGGACAATTTCCGGTTTGTAGAGAAAAAGAAAATCGTTATCGGATTTGAAAATTTTAAATAAAATGAAATAATAATAAAAATTTTATCCGTTATTCTGTTTTTTTTTTTTAAAGTAAAACGATGAATCGATTAATCGAACGAGTTTTTTTTCTCTCTCGTTTCTGAACGTACTCAAACTGTAATAATTAAATTTTTCCCCTTCCCTTCCTTTTTTCTTCGTGTTATTATTATGACGTCATAACGGGTAAAAAAAAAAATTAATGGCGGATGATGGGAAACGGGGGCGGAGGGAAAATCGGTCAATTAAATCGGTAAATAATTTTTTATTTTTTAAATAAATTAATTTAAAAAATATGTATTTTAAAAAATAAATGATAATTAATCATAATTATATGAATAAAGTAATTAAAAAAAAAATTAATAAATAAATAATTTTCATTTAAAACGGTTGAACGAGTATTAAATTACCGAATAATTAATATAACAAACATTTCGAATAGTTCGAAATGCGGGAACGAGAGAGCGTGCGCACGCGCGCGCCAAAAATTACGAAATTTAAAAAGAAAAAACGAACGAACGAGCGAATTCGAACCTGAGATTTTTTTTCTTTTTTTGGGGGTTGGGGGTGAGGGTGGGAAGAAGGGGAAAAGGATGAAGAGGGGAGGGGAAAGGGAGGGAAAGATGAAAAACGAAATGAAGTGGAGGAGAAAATAACAATTAAAATTTTAAAATCAATTAATTTATTATTAATAATAACGAAATCAAAATAAAAAAAAAAAAGTGATTATGATTATGATGAAGAAAAAGGTAATTTATTTTAATTAAATTTAATTTTTTTCGGTCCGCCATTTTGAATTTTATCTTTTAGTTTTTCTTATTCGAGAGGGCGGTGGTGTAAAAAATGGTGGAATGAATGAGTTAAAAATTTTTTTTTTTTTCAAATTTAATTAAACGGGTATTAAAGTTATATCGAAAGTTTTTTATTTTATTTTATTTCATTTTTACTTTTTTGTTTGTTTTGTAAAAAAGAGTTTTTGATGATTTTTTTCATAGTGTGTCGGCGGAAATGATCGGTTATCGATTTATTTCCGGTCGAGAAGAATGAATTGGATAAAAAATGAAATTCCGAAAAGGAAAAATTGCTTAATATAAAATTAAGACGATTTATTATTATTATTAATTATTATTATTATTATTATTATTATTAATCATTTTTCTCGCGATTTTTATTTTATTTTATTGTTATTATCAATTTTACGTTTGTTTGTTTTTTTGTTTTTTTTTTTTGTTTTTTGTTCGTTTGTTTGTTTGTTTTTATTTAATGGAGTTAAATGAAATTTCATTTTTCGTTTTTATTCCTGTGGGAATTCTAAGAGGTTACATCAATGTTTTATTATTGTTATTATTTTTTTTTTTACCCTCTCTTTTCTTTTTCTTTTTCTTCTCTTATTTTTTTCTCTCTCTCTCGTTCAAATTCGTGACGTATAAAATATTTAAAGAAAACGAAAAGGGAGAGAAAAAAAAAGTAATAAAAATAGAGTAAAAGAATAAATAAAAAAATAGTTTTCTATTATTTTCTTTTTTGTTTTTGTTTCTATCTCTCTCTTTTTTGTCTTTGTAAAATCTCTCACTCTTTCTTTCTCTCTCTCTCTCTCTCTCTCTCTCTCTCTAATTTTTCCTATCCTTTTTTTTTTTTTTTTTTGGTTTTTTGGATGAAAAATCGAATAGAAATTTAAAATGTGACTCGTTTTTCTTTTGTTTTTACGGAGAAAAAAAAATAGTAGAAGGATGATAATAATAATAATAATAATGATGATGATAATGATGATGATGATGATAATGATAACATTACTCATAGCAAATCATTTTCGATTTTAACATTTTTTCAACAAAACAAACAAAAAAAAATTTATGTAAATTTAAAGACTCTTATCGAACGCAAGAGTTATGTTGTCATCATCATCATCATTATCGTCATCAAATTTTGTTTGTCAATTTTAATGATTGTTATGATGATGATGATAATAATAATAATAGAAAATTGAATTTATTGTAAATTAAAACGATTAACGAAGGCGAACAATGATTATTATTATTACTATTAATAATAAATTCACGTTATCATCATCATCATTATCATCATCATCATCATCATCATTATCATTTTTTCGCGTTTGTTTAAAAAATTTTAAAGTCGTTTGTTTCAATTATTTTTTTTTTTTTAGTCATTGATCGATTTAAAAAAATTTTTTTTTTTTAAAACCGCAAAAAAAAAGTAAGCGTGACTTTAAAGGGAGAGAGAGAGAGAGAGGGAGAGGGAGGGGGAAACTATGGCGGTCGATAAATATGACGTGGCAGAATAATTTTTTACACATTGTCACGTCTACTATATTGAGTAAAAAAAAAAAAAAATTTTTTTTCACTTTCGTTTGCTGTCGTTAAAAACCGCAAATTCACGTACAAACATTTATAGATTATATTTATCTACATATTTAAATTGTAGACCCTTTTGGATATTGTGTACACAAAACAAGAGATAAAAAAAGGGAGAGAGAGAAAGAGAAAAAGGGAAAGAGAAAGGGAAAGAAAAAAGGGGGGGGAAAAAGAAAGAAAAATAGAGATAGAGAGAGAGGGAAAGAAGGGTAGAGAGAAAGGGTGAGGGCAAGGTTATTTAAAGAGGGAGAGACAATGAGAAAGAAAAAAAGAAAGATAGAAAGAGAGAGAATAAAGGGGAGTGAGAAAGAATGAAAGGTAAAAACAGAAGAAGAAAATGTGATAGAGAGAGAAATAGAGAGGAACCGAATGAGTAACAGAGAGAGATAGAAGGGTAGAGGGAAAGAGAGAGGGCAAAGGTAGATAGATAGAGAGAGAGAGAGAGAGATTGAAAATAAACTAATTAATTTTTTCTTTTTTTATTTTGTTTCAGAAATTCAAAAATATACATACGCGCGCGAGAGAGAGAGAGAGAGAAAGAGTACACGCATGTACACAACAAATATTCGACACCGGGAAAAAAAGGAATGATTGATAAAAGAGGAAAAAAAGAAAAATGGGAATGGAAAAATCAGAAAAATATTTCAAATGTAAAAAATTAAAATGGGGAAAAAATAAAAAAAAAAATTCAAAGGAAAAATATAAATATATACACATATATATATAAAAATAGAAAAGAAAGAGAAAGAAGAAAGAAAGAAAGAAAGAAAGAAACAAAAAAAAAAAAAAAAGAAAATGTCGAACGCGATAATCGTTGGAATTTTTTTATTTATTATCATCGTAACCTACGCCTACATAATAAATCCGAGATCAAACATTGCCGGTGGTAAAAAACACGATGTTTACATAGCTGGATTTTTTCCATTCGATGAAAATGTAGCAGAAGGAGAAATCGGAAGAGGAGTACTTCCGGCCGTTCGACTCGCCGTCGATCACATAAATGATAATCCAACGGTTTTAAGAAATTATATTTTACACCTGTGGTGGAACGACACGAAGGTAATTCATTTATATTATTATTATTATTACTCTAAAAAGCGGTTTATTATTCGACCTACTACTTCTTCCCTGCTTGCTGTTGCCACTTTTTCTGCTTCCACTTTTTTATTTAAAAAAACCCTATTACGACAACGTTTCTCCCATTTATTATTATTATTTATTTTAAATTACCCCCCCAAAAAAAAAACCATGTTTTCCACGTTCGCGACCGGAAGTCACGAGATAATTATTTTACCCTCCCCCCTCCTTCCTCCCCCAACAATTTTTTTTTAATTACATGTCATTTCAAAAAAAAAAAAAAAAAAAAACGTGGAAATAAAAAATTTTTCCACGTATTTCCCGCGTTTTTTTTTCTTTTTTTTTTGTTATAAAAATGCCACACATAATAAATGTGACGATCGTTTGTTGGTTTCATGTTTGCCAACGTGATCCAAATATAAAAAAAAAAAAAAAAATATTCCTTTGAGATTTTTCCTTTTTTTTTTTTCTTTTTCCTTTTTTTTCCTCTCTCGACGACTAAAAATAAATATTTCGCAAGTCGATATTGTTCTCATTCAACTTTCTTCCTTTCCTTTCCTTTTTTTTGCTGAGGTTTACGTTTCCTTTTTTTCCTTTTTTTTCCTT